AAAAAAAAAAAAATTAAAAAAGAATTCCCCCATCCGGCAGGAGGACCGAGGCTTCACTGTGTGGACCGGGTGACATGTTTCAGCGCAGACCTTGAACACATAGACCTTTTTCACTTTTGCAGTTTTTTTAAATGTTTTTGTTTATTCATTTTTTTGAGAATGAGAGACAGAGTGTGAGCGGGGAAGGGGCAGAGAGAGACGGAGACACAGAATCCAAAGCAGCTCCAGGCTCTGAGGTGTCAGCACAGAACCCGACGCGGGGCTCGAACCCACAGACTGTGAGATCATGACCTGAGCCGAAGTCAGACGCTTAACCGACTGAGCCACCCCAGCGCCCCACAGTTTTGCGGTTTTTACGTGGGACGTTGAACTGTACTCTGAAAAATTACCGTCACGTGTTACCTACAAACAGCTGATCACTTCCCTTCTCTCTTACCATCGAAAGCTTACAGAACCAAAATCAGGATAACAAAAAGTTTCTCAAATACGTTAGCACATTTATCTTTTCACTAGAGCTCCACTCAGCTACAGAGCTAAGGCTGAGAAAACAGGTTTACTACCTTCCTGGGTCCGGGACCGTCCTCTCCTCCAGGGCTGGAGTGAGAAGGACAGACTGACTATAAATCCCCCAATCACTCAACTCTGTTTCATTCCTGGAAAACCCTGACTGCTTTGCAGCCCCCACCCCCACCCTACCCTCGTTCCTCGGTCCCTTCCCCACCTCCAGTCACATTCTTTCTTTTTCTTTGGAAAACAGAACAGTTGCCCTGAAGCAATTTAAAAAGAAACTCAGGGGGCTTATTGAACGTGATTAAGGTCCAGGAATATCCGTATAAATATATAAATGAGGCTAATGTAGACTTAGAATTCTTCACGAGAAAACCCCAGAGGACAGCCTACTATGGACAAATCAGCAAAGCAGAAAGGTCTTACATTATTCCTTGACTCGGGTTTTCCCATTTGAATGGCCTGAGTCTACTTTCCTCCCAACCGAGGTGATGGGTTCCCTTCCAGACATAAACACAGGTCCTCATATTACGAAAAATCAGCAACCAGTGTTCGCAGCCCGACTCGCCTCTCTTATAGCATTGGTCGTCCGGGGAATGAAAGGAAAAGCGAGTGAGGCTGTGGCCTGTTCCCGCCCCCCGCCCCCGCCCCCCCCAATCTCGAAAGTGGTTCTCCTTGGGGCTCAGGTACGCAACAAATTACAAGAAGCACCCTTCCCTAATTGAACGATGAAAACCAGAGCTGGCCAGGCCATGTGGTTCCACGCGTCTGGCTTGTGGTCCACCTTGGGAATATAAAGCCCCCAGAACAGGAAGAAGAGACGGCATCATCCATTTGCTGATGCCCCGCTCACGGTCACTTCCTACTTCCCAGAGACGAGCTTGAGATTTCCTCCACAGGCAGAGGGGCTGAACGAAGCCTGCTTCTCCTCAGAGCAAAGCCCTCGCCAGACCTTGGTCAGGTGGCTTTGCTTCCAAGCAGCCAGGAAAGCATGGGCAGGGCCAGCGTGCACATCCCTCAGCTACCTCTCCCGGGGGCTGTGGCCCTCTGCAGAAGCCCACCATCCACACTCGGGTGTCGCCCAGCCTGGCGGGCTGCCAGCGAAACATACCAGGCCGGCCACAGACAACAGATCCCTGGACCTCAGGGCCAGGCCGTGTACAGACCACTAACAGGCCCCCATGCACTGACTCTTTGGAACGTAAGGGTCGGGGGCAGGAAACGGAGGTGGTTCAACAGGATTCTTCTTCCATCCAGCTGCTGATGACTGAAAAGAGATGATACTTTCTGACCAACTATCTTAGCTGAGCACCACCAAGGCTATGGCACCAAACAGAAGGAAACACAAGGCAGGCCTTACCGTAAGGGTACTTGGTATCCAGCTTTCTCTCTGCCGTCCTTCTCCAAGGCAACACGTCATCGCTGCACCCATTTGGCATTCCATTATACCCGATGCCGACAATCTTGTTCTCTGCGTTCACGATGCAGGCTCCGACCTACAGGGAAACGTGTCCAGACACTGGTGATGTCAAGTGGCCCGTCGGCCCCTGGACGGGCAGTAAATGAAACCACAAGCTTGCAGAGCTCCAAAGCGAGCATGCGGCTTCCGGCAGTGTGGTAAGAGCTCTCTCTATCTCCTTGCTCGCTTTCTCTGGCAGCTCCCATAAGCCCCAGGAAGCACCCCCTAACCCCAGAGCGGGCGCAAGAGGCGGTGAATGATGGAAACATGAACGCACCCAGGGAGGCAGCACAGGAGACAGACTTCCTCTGCCTTTCAGGCGACAGGCATCCGTGGAGTCTTTCTTTTCCTTTCGTAATGTGTTCGATTTGCAGGGATCTCTGTGCCAGTGAGGGTCCAAACATTCTCCCAGAACACTCACTTACCTGTGAATTTGGATCTTTGCTTCTCTGTGCCGATAAGAAGGCCACTGCCATGAAGTACTCAGGCCATTCCAGGTAGTCATCACGTTTCCTGCAGGGAACTTCACTCATGCTGGGTCTAGACGGAAAACAACAGTTGAGAAAAGCACTTTGGCAAATCTGCTTTCCAGTTCAACGCAATCACATTTAAACTTTGGGTCTGCAAAGTTAGACAATTTCGGTTACAATCAGAAATCACGGATCATGGGACCGCAGACAGTGTCGGGCCTTAAGAAAAAAATAAATTAGGTTACTATTTCGGAAGTTTGGATTCACGCCTAGTTTCACATTCCCAAATATTACACCTAGTCACTGCTTTCTCATAGGATCGTTTTCCACTTAGTACAAACGCCTGCCCCACAACTTGTTCTCTCCCCGATGAAGCAGAGCCAGCACAAGAGAATGGGAGGGAGAAAGGAGAACATTTATTGATCACCTAATATATTTCAAACACTGTGAAAGTCAGACACATCATCTTACTCACGCCTCATTCTAGCAAAGGTAGTAACATCCCATGTTACAGACACGCAAGAGAACTTATCCTAAATCACATAGGATTATTATCCCTGCCTGTCAAATCCCACGGGAGCTGTCCCAGCTCTGATATTAACCGGATTAATTTGTCCCTTTTCTTTCCCCTTGGTTTCCCCAGCTGAAACAGAAGTTATCAACCCTGAGTACCCAATCAAATGAGGAGAAACTGACAAGTGTCGAGCCCTATGACTAAGGCAAAGTTTTAGTAACAGGGGCTCTACTCAATCCGGGCCAGGCACAAGCTGTTCTCCAACAGGCCTCCAACAGGGGGCCTAAAACTTCCAGTAAGGGGTGGGGTGCTTTCAAGGGAGGGAGACCAAACAGGGCAAGGAAGGAGGGCAACTCAAGAACTGAGAAGTCTTGAGCAAGCCTAGGCGTCTGGGCTGAAGGAAGCTGGGAATTTCCCTGTATCTGGGCGGGGCGGCGCGGCAGTGCCTAAGACTGGGAACCATGATTATCCCGATGATGTTGCCCAAATTCCGAGAAGGCTGTAAACCCTCTCGACACCGAGCGATGCTGGACCGCGCCGGTTTACCGCCGGCCTTAAGGGTTAGCATCCATAACCGCTGCAGGGTGGGTACCAGATCGGTGCCAGCCTAACAGGAGGTGGGAGGGGCAGCAGAGGCGAGGGACGGGAACGTAGTAGCCCCGGAACCCAGCTGCGGAAACACGAGGGACGCCACTCCAGGGCCGGGAGGAACTCCCGCTCCCCCGCGCACCACCACTCCCAGATTCCGTTCCCGGACGGAAAGCAGGCGCCCCCCACCCCCTCGCCATGTGGGCGCAGGAAGTGACTGCCAGTCTCGGCCTCCCAGTACCACCCTCCCTCGGTTTCCTGGAAGGAGAAAGCTGTCGAGCCCTCCCGGCCCGCACCCGCGTGAGGTTCACCCGGGAGCCGGGATAACCTCAGGGCTCCCCGCCCCGAGCCCCGGCCGCGAGTCCCCCACCCCCGCGCCCAGGCCGCGCCGCGTGGCGCGCAGGCCGCGTACCCGCAGGGCTGCCCCCGCCG